CGACTCTCGCTTAACCCACATCCATTTCCAATCGAAGGTGACTGTGATGCCACGGTACTCGGCTGCTCACTCCGGTCTGCCTTTCGCGGCCCGCCCATTCTATATGCACGCCATGCGGCTCGGGACACGGCGGCATAGACTTTGTACCTCGATGAAGACTCCTGGCAGGTCAACCAACGTCTGGCCCTGAGATGCAGATGCAGATTAAAGGTCCTGTGGCGAGTGTGGCGAGTGGAGCTTGGTGTCGACAGATGCCGGAGAACGGAGCCGGGCCACTAACATAGCTTCAATGACATGACAAGAGTGCCAGTACCAACCGTGCGGAGGGAAGGAACCAGTATAACGCCCAATCGCCTGAACTTGCCTTGCTCGGCAGCCGCTCAGGTTGAGGCGCATATCAAATGTCTTGGACAACAGGCCTGTGCTTACAAATTGATCAGATTAGTGACTTGCAACACCCCCACGAAAGCCTGCCGCTCAGGGTTCTTTCGAAACGTCACTCCAGTCGCTTGGAGGCTGGCGTGCAGATTAGCCAAAACCCATCCGTACCACTCTAGCGCAACTCTACAGCAGGACGGGATAGTTTCTGGTCCGCTTGATACGGCACAACAGAAAGAAGAACATGGCCTCGAACATTGGCGAGGACCAATTGACCGTTGCGACTCCGGCCGTTGTACCGGCTCGTCATGGTTGAATGAGCAATGCATCATCTCTATTAATACCCAGGCGGTACCGACCACTCCACGGTCTCAAAATCTCTGGTTCCGAACGGTGCGTTACCAACCAGGTGGCCGGCCGAGGTATCTGTTCCGCGCGCAACCGATCTCCTCATGGCTGGATCGGAGATGACCAGCCAAAAAAAAAAAAAAAAACCAGAACTCAATAGACAAGCCGGGAGGGGCACAAACCGGCACAGAAGAGCACAAAGCGGCGGGACGCGCCATGATTTCAGCAACCGACCCAGGGCATTGCTTGCTGTGGTGGCATTCTCGCAAATGCAACGCCAGTCTAGTGGCTGTCTGACCGCACACGGACGACACCAAATTGATGGGACGGACGGTCTCTGGTGTGTGGGGACAGTTGCAACAGGTCATGTCGTATTGGAGAGACGGACACCAGCCGTGGTAGGATTGCCGAGCTTCTGGCCGGCCTGCCAAAATCTTATTTGTGTCTCTTTCCAGATCCAGGTGTGCAGAACCATCGCGCAAGGCAGGGGCGTATGCCGTTTTGGCAGCTTCGATGACCCTGCAGCTTGTCATCTCCACTGGCACTCATTTCTCGCAACCTGCAGATATGTACAGAGCGACACTGCCAGCCAAAGCTCATCATCGACCTTGGCCCACACCAGGCGGTGCACCGCAAAAGAGATCTATGAGACGCCGTCCATTGTTTCTGCTGAACAACGAACCGTTTCCCAGCGGCTCTTGGTCGATGATATTTGCCGAGGCAACAATCTTCGGGGCAGACGACGGACGCGTTGCAGCAAAGCGTTGTTGGTCATCCGATTCATGTTCCAAAAACGATCACCTTGCCTTGCGAGATGAAAGGGCTTCGACTAGTTCGCCGCTGGGCTACTTGTCCCCGTCTACAAGCTCCGAGGACACAGAGTTGTCGACCCTGACCCCTGGACTGTGGAAGCAGAAAACCTCCGATCCATTGCACGGCATGCCTCAGAAACAGTGAACGCCCGCCTATTCCAGCAGACATGGAAGTCGATCGGCACCGTGTTTGATGCGTTTGATGCGTGGCAGCGTTTGTATACAAGGCATCTTCTGCTAAATTCGGCGACTATCAAGGTCGCTTCTCAACAGATTTGTGACTACTGTCGCAAGTTACCTTGACCGAGGTGGTACTTAGCAGGGTAGCCTCGCTCGCTAAGACCTTGGAACTAGCAACAAGGAGGCACGGCGAGGTTACGATTCTCTCAACTAACCAGCTCCCTCCTCCCATCGGCCAAGCTTCAAATGCTTGGAGAAACTAATCCTGTTCTACAGAGACAATCGGCGAGGGTTCCCGCAGGCCCGGCATGGCTGATCTTGCTCGATCCACCGACAGGCCGTGGATACCACAGTCGACCCATCCCTTGGTTTCTTCAGTGAGTACAAGCCGAACTTTATTTCCGCCGGGTTGCCACAATGGGAGGAGGCATCTTGAGGCTTCAGACTCAACGCAAATGTGTCGTTCGAAGGGGGCCTGGGTCATTATTACTCCCAGGAGAAGCCAACTTTCATCGACAATTGCTGGAAACCAATCCCAACATTCTACTTACGTGGTTCGCCGAGCCGAGCTGTTGCTCTCCCTTGCAGGACCGTCTGGACACCCAGGAGTTGCAGTGTCAAAGCGTTCGCAGACAAACCCACCGCCGGGTTTCACACCAGACTTCAAATGATCAAAGCGCCGTCCGGCTTCCTCCCCACACCCCAGCAACCCCAAATTCCTCATCTGATCTCCCTGCCCCTTGTCCATGCCTGCTCCCTGCACGGCGGCTGGCAGAGCTGAATGATCGCATCAATCTGACTCTGGGCGAATCATGGCAGTCCCAAGACCATTCTGACAGGTACCCGGCGGACGCCTGCATCCCCTGCTCGCAACCTTGGATCAGAAGGGACATTGTCAGGCACACACTCGCGCCAGGGCGGTCGTGGACGGGCCTGACAGCAGCCAGTGGAGTCTCCTACGAGTAGCGCTAGGTATGTAGGCTCTAGGGCCTTGCTCGCCTTGTGGAGAAAAGCGGAGGGGAAGGAGAGCCGTCTCCATGCCGCTTAACCCTCTGGGAACGTCCTGAACACCCGGAATACGAAACTTTGCGTCGATATCACGCTTTTAGAGGATGGGAGAAAGTGGGTTGTCGACGCACTGTTGGGAAAATGACATGCCACCGGCACAACGGCGGTTAAACGGTTACAACAATAGCTCCATTCAAAATTGAACTAGGACATGCCACCCTTCATCCCGATCTGCACGCATTTGTGCTTACCGACTCACACACCCCGTCACCGCATCCCGCCATACCAAGTCGGGAGAGCTAACGAATTTGACGTTTTACGCCCATATGGGCTTGCTTCAGCTGTTTGAGTGGACTGGGCCTGCAGAGCGCAGACGGGGGACGGCAGATGGCATATGGCATATGTCATATGACAGATGAGAGGAGGTTGCGTGGAAAGACGAGAGCGGCTCTTGTCAACTTGCCTGCAAGGGGGCGTCTTCCTTGCCTCTGCAGGCGGCTATGTGGGGGAAACAGCTCCATACGACGGACCGAGTCAAATGGCGTTGATTGCTATGCCTGCTCGCCTATGACTATTCCGTCTCTCGGCGGCCGACAATATGCATTGGACATTTCAAAATCCCATGGCCGCGAGCCTGTCAATGCCAAGGCCCGGCGCAGAGCAATAATATCCTCGTCGGCCGGGGGGGGATGTTCAAAAACATTGTGGCAGTGACTGCTAGTGGCCTCCACTACGGCTTTGGGAGACCGAGACTCTTTGTCGGCTTCTTGCCGACTCCTGGCGACGTGTTGGATCCTGCTACCTCATTGCGGTGTGCCTGAGTCGTAGAGGATCGGGCTCGTCCTTGGTGTTTCCAGCGTTTTATACTGCGTCATCCGCATACGGCCTGCGATGCTGCATCGGAAATGAACCCGCTGTATAATGTGCATACAGAGTTATGCTCCCCAACTCCTTTTTTTTGTGTTTTTTTGTGGCATCATCGTCACCCTGGGTTGTAGACAAAGGCAGCAGGACCTCGGCTCAACAGAAATCACCCTTCCAAATCGCCATACATACGACGCGTGGCATTGACCAATAGATATCGATCTACGTGCATTGAGACGGCTGCTACCGTTGCATTTTGCAGCATCTCATCTTTGTGAACGACCCAGACGGCGAACCCGGTCGTATCTCTTTCCGGGCATAGAACCTTCTGGGCTCACTAGAGCCTTATGGTTAATGACGCGGCTATCCACTCCCTGCTGCCGTGCGTTTCCGCGCTTCTAGTGTAGTGGTATCTCCAACACGCGGCGACAACCTCAAAACGGAGCATATCCGCTCATCTGCGACAGACCGACAGAATTTAGAGTTTACCACGTACTGGGGCTCGGGTCACCATCGGCAGTCACGCTACTCATCAACCATTTTGATCGGCGAGGCAACGTGGATTTTGCCGAGCAACTACGAGACGTGCGGACTCGCGCTGCCTCGTGTGGTCGCCGTGAGAATCATGTCTGGTCAAACTGCTGGTCCTCAGATTGGAGGCGGGAATCCTGCCATGTTCATTCAACATTCGACAACGCGACAGGTGGGTCAATAAGTCTTCAACACCACACTCATTTGGCCCTTCCGGCACCCCTCCCAGCTTCGAAGGAAGAGGCTCGAGGGTGTTTGGGAAAGGTCCAGGTTCCCCAAGCACTCGAGTGCCAGAGAAAGTTATTCGAAAACCCAAAATAGCCTCACGGCAATACATGCACCCTTCCGGCACGACTCAAGTTGAGCTCAATGAACTGGCGGTCTGAGACTCAGACGCATCATGTCTGTGATGGTCTTTCCAGCAGACGAATGATGTAAGGTCAGGGTCCAAGGGTCCCGACGCTTCGATCTGAACACATTTACCATGGTTCTGCCGAATCGATCGGGAGTATGTCGGTCCAGCATTTTCGTCAGCCACGCAGAACCCGAATGTCGGTCTGATCGCAAGGGCGTCTGATAGACCGAACGAAGCATCCCATGTCGAAGCGTCAACCACCACAGTTCACCTTGCTCACGGCGAACATACGGTACGATAGGCCTCGCCATCTCATTGTCATTAGCACCTTCGAGGAACAGGTCTAACCTTTGATTTGCTACGCCAAAACACCAATACCTAATTAACACTCTTTACGTTTATCACAAACGCGACGGCAACGGCAGCAGGGAGCCTCCCATTCAACCGCCTTGGTCCGCCATCGTACAAGAAGAATCTTCCGGCCACTGCTCCTAAAACCACAATCGTTACTTCCCCATTGAACCCTACAAGGCAAACAAAGCAGCAACAAGACCTCCCAACAGGGCAACCGGTCCCATCGTTGCCGCGGCGTTCGATGTGTTGGTGGCGGATGCAGCCGTGCCGGTCTGCGTGGCACTAGGAGTGGTCTGCGAGCCGGATGCCGACGCCGACGCGTTGGCGCTCTTGCAGACGACCTGGTCGGGCACAGCGACGCCGGCACCGGTGCAGATGTTTTTGGCGAACTTGACGGCGGTCTCCTGATCGGCCGGAGGGCAGGCCTTGGTGAGACAGCAAGCGATGCCGTCGAGGAAGCCCGAGTTGGAGCAGATGCACTTGATGTCGAGATTGCTGCAGCCGGCGATCGCATTGCCGGATGTGTATTGGTTGGTGCAGTCTTGCTATTCACGGCGCATCGGGGTCAGCACACGAACAAGTCAGTCATCGCGACCTGTGGCGTCGGGTGGCCCAGGAAAAAGGGGAGGCTGAGACGAGGGGACAACGTACAGCGCATGCCGGGAGATCGGTCTGCGCAACGGCAAGGCCGGCGAGAGCAATGGCCACGGCGGAGAACTTCATGGCGACCGTGTTTCTGTGGACGCGTGCTTTTGCGGATTGTGTTGCGCGACGCTCGGTGGGCTCCGGTCGGAGTCGAGTGGACGGGTCGTGGACAGGTTTGAGCGTTGAGGTGGAATGATGCGTTCACGAGAGGACGAGGACAAAGCTGTTTTCACTGCTGCGGGGGGAGAGAGGAGGAAAGGCAAGTAAAAGACCAGACAGGTGAGCACGAGAACCCGGGAGGGGAAAAAGCTGAAGCCTTATTTTTAAACGCTACGCAACGCAGATGGTGTCCGCAACCCGTGGTGGTATGCTTTAGCCTGATTCGAACCATTCCTTCCCTTGACTTTTCTTCCAGTCCATGGGTGCCGCCGTCCTTATTTTGTTTTGGCCCTTCCTGTCGACAGGCCCCCTTGGGCCAAAAAGGACGGCTACTCTCCTGATTGGAAAATCACACCAATCATTGCGCTACACTGTCGGCGCAGTCGATGCGTCTCATTGGCTGCCATCCCACCTCTTTGGGTTCAATTACCGTTTAAACTTTTGGGTGCTGGAGTTTATTGGAGAACTCATTTGCCCTGGGAAATCAATGTTAGCACCTTAGCATGCATAGTATGCATGCTAAGTCAGGGTCGCCCAGGCCAACCCGAAAAAAAGCAAAACCCCACCCCGGAAGACCCGGAGACTTGTTGTGGACGGGTTACGGTGCCCTCTTCCCCCTGTCCCCCCTTCTTGCTCCACCCGCCCAGCGAGGGTGGGACGGTCCGGGATGGGGCAGACATGGCCGTCCCCGGGCCCGCGTCTGCCGGGAGCTCCGTCGATGTTTGCACTCGTCCCTGCCCACCTGGCCGTCCGTTGTTTGGGTTACCGCCGTGTCTGACCGCGAGGGCGGGACTGAAACATCGTCCAAAGTTTCCCAATATCTTTCGACGCGTGGTGCTCGCTTACTCTGGTCATTGGTCCGCGGGGCCAAGACTCCCGTCCATCGACTGCGTCACAGCAGGCGAGCAAACCTTCTGTTCCTTTTCCGACGGTATTCTGCTTCCTTCCGTCCCCATCTCCGGACGAAAAAGAAAGAAAGAAAAAAGGAGAAAACACAGGACCATCTCCTCCGCAAAGATGAGGCGGGCACAATAACAAAATGCCCGCCGGCACCCTGGGCCGCTCGGTCGACCCACAGCCACCCTCACTTGGCCCACATTCCGGACGGTCGTCCCCTACGTCAGCCCCGTATCGGGACCTCACCTCCTCCATATCTGAGGACTCGGGAATGCGCGCATGAGTGAGCGAGCGAGCGTCGTACGCATCACATGGAGACGCAAAGCACGGGGCGCTTTCATTCTCCCAAGATCGGGGTTTTTTTCTCTCGTTTCTTTTTCTTCTTCTACTTCATTTATTTTCCATTTCACAACGCAGTGAGGGCTTAGACAGGCATTGACGAGCACTGGTACGCTACTTACATCATGCAGATTTGCTCGCTCGGCCCCGGACCGCCTGCTCTCTCTCTCTCTCCCTCTCTGTGTCTCGCTCCCCTTTTGGCCCAGCCACCCTGACGACAGAAGGCATGAGGCTAGTGGATTTTGCGTTCTGTCAGAGACAACCCTGCGCAGGATACGGGCGCCCGTCTGATCTCGGGGCTGCGCCCAGTCCGTGCCACTCGTTTTAACCACTTTCTTGGTCGGCTGCGGCGTGTCTCTACTCTTCACCCCCTTGGCTGGCGAGGGAGAAACGGAAATATGAAGACTCGATCCAGGTGCACTCGGCCTCTTTTCTTCTTGGCCGCCAGCGTTCTTATTCTTGTACGACGGGCCCCAAGACCCAAAAACAGGGCGAGACAAAAGCTTGTGCCACCCGGGCAGTTTGCGACTCTTGGCTCTTGGCATTTGCAGACTATATGGTTAGTAGGGCGGCACGGCGGGTTCACGGCCGTACTACGCCACACAATCAATTTTCCATCCCGGTCCCGCGCCCTCTGCCGCCTCTCTCAGCGCTTTGCAGGAACGAAAACGGGAACGGCCGTGGTTCGGCATACGGGTGGGGGCTGCGCTGCCCAGCCGGGCCAAGGAGTGACCGAGAAAGCTTGACGGGCAGCTGCGCATAGGAAGATGGCAGCGAGAGAATCTGCACGGGAGAAGCGTATTGGAGCCCAGACATCTGGTTCCTCGGCCTGCGGCCCAAAGGTGGGGGACGGCAACATGGTCATACTTGGACGGCGCTCGACGCATCATGCCGGCTTCTCTCTGCGGGCGAGTCGGCCCTTATTCCCGTACTTGGATGCTGGGCAGAGCTTCTTCCCGGCCTGGTTGCTCCGCGTCGGATCACAGCTGGGAGGTTGCAACCAGCAAGACCCAGTCCGTCACAAACCTAAGAAAAAAACGCCGGCAGCCGCCCATAGTAGGTAAGAATACGGTACTCTCGCTGCTCCGTTGACAACGATGCCGCAACAAACTGCCGGCCTGCCCAAACCGCGGGCGAGAAGGGACTTTGATCCGGTCGACTCGCACCGACAAGCCACTGCCGGTGACACGGCCGGGAGCTAGCCACCCCCATTTCCCCACCCCCTTTAACGTAATACTCCAGAGGCAGGTCTCGGTTACCTTTGATCAGGAACAACTCGCACACTTATGGCCAATGACCTAGAACCCCCCAATCGGCTGATGAAAGCGACGTGAAGACAACAGCCGGACCGCACTCATCCCCCTGCCGCGGTGCTGCCCTCCCGCCCGCCCGCCCGCTCCTCCATGACCACCCCCGAATCGGAAGCCATACACTTTCAATAGCGGCGCACCCGGGCCGCGGTTCGTGTCATCGACGGACCTAGCGCCGGGCTAGCGCCTCGTCGCCCCCTTCCCCCCTCGCGAGACATGCACGCTTTGTGTGCGTATGGCCGTCGAGCTGGTACGCTAACCCACGGCGCCAATTCGCTAGCGCCTCGATCGGTTCAATCCTCTATTGCCTCTCTATTGTTAAGGCCAAGCTAGCCAGTGCGTAGGTATGCGAGATGCTCGCCGCTCAATCGCCCTCCCTCAACATATCCAACACAACGAGCAAGGTTTCCACTCGTATCAATAGATTAAGCGGCCGACGCCTACCGAGGCAACAAAAGCCGGTGGTAAAGGGGACCCTGGAAAAAGAAGAAGAAAAAGAAAAGAAAAGAAAAAAAACGCCGTCCTTTTTCTTTAACCTTCTCCGTGCGCGGGCGCCTGGGTATCGGACACATCGTTGGCCCAACCCAGACCGCTACGCCGTGCACTGACTCCGGCCCGTTGTGACGTCTCCGGTCCACCGAACCCCCGGCCAGGGGTGTTGAAGACACGGAGGTGGGTGGAAGAAGGGCAGAAAAGGAGGCTGAAGGCCCGCCTCGGGAACACGAGAGGGTAATGGAGCAGGACGAACGCCGAGGACGACAGCGCTACAGGTTCGTGGAGTCTCTGTCGTCGATTCCGCGCCGGTACGTAGGGGTGAGGTGTCACGCGATCTACGCAGTTGGTTCTACTATCTCCCTTCAACAGGCTCTGATCTACCGGCTGGGCTCTGGCTTCGACGTCGGCTCCGAGTCCCCGTACAAGTGCTCCCCTTGTCGTCTCCTCCTCGGCGTTCCCTGGGTTAGAGCCTCACGTGCCAATATCACGACCTCGTCGAGACGTAGGTGCCATGCCTTGAGAGCCAACACCACCCGTGCGACCGCTCCTATTTGCCTGTATGCATAAATGAAGAACCATACCAGACCCAAGCAGCCAAGCCACGCCCGCCCGCCTCCGTGGTCCCCATCGGCGACGCGCAGCTTCGCCAGCTCCGCATCCTCAGACCGTCCCGCTGTAGCTCCTTTCTCAACTCTCTGATCGACGCGCCCCTGGAGGTTCACGCCCGCCGGGGGGGGGGGGGCGGGGGGCACATCCAAGGCGTGCCCATGTCGAGTCTCCACGCCACCCCGGCGCCGAGAGATCGAGCCGTTCCGCAGAACCTTCCTCCCCCTTGTCGGCGACTTCCAACACTAGTAGATGTATTCTAACTAAGCCACTGCAGTATTCACAGAGTAGAAATGTTCTCTTCCAGACTACTAGACAGAGTCTATGCTAGTGACGCTCAACATGCCCTTGCTAGAAACCTCGCGAGAAGCGTTCCCCGCCCTCCCGGAGCATCACGCCACTTTTACCCTCGCCAAAGTAGTAGATATCATCCCGTTATACCCAAACTGTCCGCTATGTATCACAGTTCCGTACTGCTATGTATACTCCGCTGAACTTAAGCAAAGTCCATCGCTCGAGATCTCCCCCATGTCTTGGCCACGCCCAAGTCAACGCTAAGCAAAGTACACACACTCGCAATCACATCGGCCGCCTTCACATGAGCGAGCATTGGCCGCCAGTCGACTCATCCTCGGAGCCTCTGTTTGGCATATCCGCTGCCCTGCCCATGTCCTCCCAGTAGGTGAAGTCCTTCAAAGAAGCCCTCGAGTTTTGGAATGCCCCAGCCATGGCCTGGAGACACTCTTCATCTCGAAGATTCAAGACCCGAACTATAAAACGCACTCTCTTGTCCGGCTGGCCAGCTCTGAACATCTCCGTGTATAACGGATTCCGTAAACCGCCCAGTCGCCTCTCGAACTCCATGTAGAGAAACATGATCTGAATGGTAATCCAAAAGTAGTTGATGCCCGATGAGGGCGAATCTCCACAGACGTCGTTGTATATGTCCTTCTTGACCAGCCTCAGGAGCTGTTCTCCGTTTAGTTGGGGGCCTGAGTGACTGGCTGGCTCGGCGCTTCTCTGTGCATTCGCCATGTTCAAGAGTGCGTCATCATCTACTTTAAGCTCTACTTTGGCGCGGCGGACCAGGTCCGTTTCTCTAAGGGTTTTCTTTCCAGTTTGGGAGTTGAAGACTTGCTTCGTCTGAGATATACGTAGCATCCCCAGCGAAGATCGTGGCTCGATTTCATGGTCCGGGATGCTTTCAATGTTCCACTTTGCGTCCCGGTAAAGTATCAGGTTCGACTTCTTCCTGAAGCCCAAATTCAGGTCTAGGTCCAGCGCGGCATAGAAACCCCGCTGGGTCTTGGCGACGTCGCGCCGTGCCTGTTTCTGCGCTTGCTTCCCCGGGGCCCACATATCATGCAGTTGTCTTGAGAGGACCGGGCCAAAGTTGTACGTTGGTATTTCGCCGTTGGGGAAAATGCTGTCACTGAATGTATTTTGTAGACTGTGGTAAAGCTGGTTCGGCATTGTGAGATACCTCTTTTCCACAAGCATGTTGTATAGATGGATCATCGTTGTGATAATGGCCAGAGAGTCCCACAAAGCCATAGAATATCGAAATGCCAATTCGACACTGTCCGTAAGTCCTACGGCACACAGGAAAGGAGACAGCTCCCAAAGACCATCGATATTAGTCTCGGAGAAACAGGACTTCGGAAACACGTAATTGGCATGCAAGTGGGTTGATCTGCCAAGGCAGCTCCAACCGTCATGGAATACTTTTATAGAATGGAGCCAAATTTGATGGTAGCCTGGTGCTTCGTGCACTTCTTCGTCGGCCTCGAGAAGCTTCACCAGAATACGAAGAGACGGCAAACACCCGGAGTTGCCTCTCTCATTTTGGCGATCCAAGAACAGCTCGATCTCTCTCGTCGGGTCAAAACTCTGTGGTGGGGCCATGAGAACATGTCCTTTCAACATTTTGATGGACCAGCCGCGCGATACGGTGAAGGCATCGACGATGCATTGCAGGAAAAAGACCTCGTGAGGTAGGATTCGTTCCGAAATACGCGTGCCAGGCCTTTGCATTGCGAGCGAGGTAACGATGCCCCCAAACTCTTGCAAGCCAAGAATCGCATTTTGGAGGAGCTCCTCGTTCTTGGGGGACCAGTCGATGTTTTCGAGGTCTTGTTGCTCTCCATGACCACGCTTGACGACGGGGCTTGAATAGATGTTGACCAGGTCATACAGCCATTTGATCGTGTATGCTCGACGCCATTTCAGCATGTCTTCTTTCGTAGCTTGCTGCAGGTCAAAACCGGGGTCCCAATTCGCGATCTGGGCAACCATTGAGTCAGTTGGCACCCCTGTTCTCTTCTGTTGGTAATCAACCGCAAAATCGACAAGATTCCGATAGGCGTCGAACATGATGTACTCCCTTAGGTCAATATGAGCTCTGTCGCTGCCTTGATACTGATTATCCGACGACAGTAAGTGCATGGCTATATGGAACTCGTCTTCAGCCTTCTAGACGTTCCCCGGCGTGATGGTCCTCTCGAGCGTTTTGTAAGAGACTAGGCTCGGGAAGTCGGCGAAGACTTTCGACTCGGTTTGTTTTACCATTCCAATGGCCAGTTGAACCATGGCGCCAGCAACAACACTGTTGAGGCCGTCGTATGCAACCTCACGCCAAATATCCTGGAGGTAGGCTCGGAGACTGGCACACTCCCGAAAATACGAACAGGTGGCCATGGCATACTCCGTTGTCAGTTCGTCATCGGTTCTGAGAAAGTGGTAATCCTTCAGAGGCACTTTCCCTATTGTTGCGTCTCCGGGAAAAGCTTGCGTCGCGGTCCTCACCTTCTTCTTTCTCTTCCCCTTGCTTTTCGTGCTGTATCTTTTTCGAGCGCGCTTTTGAGTCACGGAGAATCCTTCGTTAAATTCTTCATCGGACCCTTCGTCGTCCAGCGCTTCGCCATCCCGGACTAAGAAGTTGTTGGCGAGGACGATTTCCTCAATGGCATCGGCTGCTTGGAAACCGTACTGCGCCTCTTGGCTTGTATCCTGGGACTTTGCAGATAGGACCTCAAAGGTCTCGAATGCCTTGTATAGTACGATCATGAACGTTCTGTCAGCTGTATGGGACCTCCCGACTCCAGGGTCTCCTTCGGTATATTGTTGAAACTCATCCCAGTGAGCCGTCCTTGCCAGGATTACCGAACGGAGCAACTCAAGGACCACCGATGGGATGCAGCGCATCTCCTCTCCAATGAGCCGAGTCATTGCCGCGAACTCATCAATTGTAACCGTCCCGGACGTGTTGAACCTGACGGGCGACTTCTAGCAGCGATGCGTCTTTCTGTATGTCTTGATAATGAAGTTGGAGGCGTTAATCACCCAGTAAAGCAGGCAATTCGTGTCTTGCTTATACGAAAGGTAGGCGTTGCGGATAGCCATCGTTTCAGCGGTTGGAAATGTTGCATATATCGATGTGGATTAAATTGGTCCGTGTCTGTAGGCTGGCAAATCTGGACGTGGTTAATCTTTTCAAGGACTCATAGCTCGTTGGGCTTGATGCTGACTGTAGCGATACTGTAAACCTTTCCCAGAAATATTGTCGACGTTGGTGTTGTGTTGGCGAAGAGGTGGCCGGTTGACTGACTGAACGAGGAGCCGGTGTAGCTAGGGAAGGGATGTATATTCGTTGTCTGGTCCGATCTGCTACCGCGTCAATGCCACCTTCCTTTCTAAAGACTCGAAAATAGGCTTTGGGTTGATCTGTTCCATGAATGGGAAACTGCCATGTTAAAACGGCTCAGGGAGTGGGAGGCACAAACGCCGTGCGGTCTTGGTCAAGTCACTTGACTCCAAAAGATGAGCCCCAACCCAGGAGTCCGGCTTTTCAGTTAGACTTACACGGTGCAGATGTCACCTGCATTTATCAAACTTTGTAAGACGATGCTGGCGGTGAACTTGAACTGCTAGGAATCTCGGCCTCAAGGGCAGTACCGAGACGATTTATCATCCAGCGACAAGACCAACCCATCGCCCTCCGCCTCTTCTGTGGTGACTAAGAACAGTTAGATCACGGCATATACAAAGTATACCATTAGCCCATACTGCCGGCCAATCACAGACAGCCCTTCACACGGAGAGAACTCGCAAGGGTTGGTCAACGTCCTTGGAGCATAGCTTTGGATTTGACCAATCTCCTTGAACGAGACCACATACGCTAATGCCGAAACTAACACGCTCAAATATTTGAAAACACCACGTTCTTGCCGTTCTCATCGCTGGCGGCTTCCGTTGCATGCATCGTTTTCCGTTCCATTGATGCATTCAAACATGATGCGAAATATGTGACTGCCCTAGATGACCGAGAACGCCCTTAATGCCTCCTTCCTCTACCTCTACCCCCGCATGAAGTCTCCAAAATTCATAGGTCCATGGTGCTAGTTCCTTTTCCGAACGGATCTGGTAGGTTGCGCGCTTCTGGTGTTGCTTGTTGCTCAGTCGTCGAGTCGATAAAGGCCTTTGAGAATGGTCCAGCACCATTGTGCAGTTCTGTCAACGTCTTTTAGATCTCGAATCCATGCAATACCCCATTCAACCGTCAGATCAGCTTCCTGTTCGTATCCTTGGCGGCAATGGCTTTGTCGGATGTTGGAGAGGGTGGGGTTTACGAGGGACAGGTGTAACATGATGAGTGCGCCTAATATGTGTTGCGACCAAAAGTACAGACACGGGATCATGCGCTTGTGCTGAGAGGTCGGTGGGACCATTATAGGCCAGAGAACACAGGCGTGGAGGAACCTTGTGGTTGCTGAGAGGTCTGCTTCGCTTAAGTTGTCCGGGTGTTCGTGGAGAACCTTGTAGGCGAAGGGCCGGTAGAGTAGATATTCAAGATGGTAGTACCGTGAGCGCATAATGGCAAGCAGTACATCGTCCGAGTTGGGATAACTGATGTTCGCACTGGGATTTGCGATGTCGGACCCGATGAAGTTGGTTATGGGGCCTGGATGCAGCCCATCCATGGCTTCCGCAGCATACATATTCTGGACGTAAAACGACTGACTGGTAGGGTGAAGCTCAGGGGCCGAATACACAGTGGAGGCAAGATCTCTGTCCCAGCTCAGGTAACCTGGCAAAGAACTGTGCCACTGTTCAAGCTGCCTCGCCAGCTTCTCGACGATGGTTCGTAGAAGGTGATCTGGGTCAGGCGTCGTCTGACCGGGGTCAATGGGGGCGCTTCGGAAACTACAGGAGACACGGGTCGTCAGTGGGGGGGTTTAGAGAAACGACGAAGCCACCAATATGAAGGAACATATCGAGGCGCTGCTTATTGTTCGTGTAGAATGTATGTTGACAGCAAAATCAAGTCGCAGACAGCAGGGCCAGAACCAATGGGCAGGCAGGGACGCCAGATGAACAGTTATACGCCGGCAAGATTGTGGTGAGGAGAAACAGATGTTCTGCAAAAGTCTCAATCTGGCCGGGGAAAAACTCACCTTGGTTCAGCCCGTTGCGGATCTTAACAGCGAGGTTTCGGAGAGAAACCTGATAGACAAATATCTCGCCGTAATGAGACAGTCTGTCGTTGTACATCTGCACACGAAGAAGTTCGTCGGTCGTGGTAACATAGTCGGGAAACTGGGGCATCTGTATAGTCGGCTCCAGCTTGTCAAGGCCGGTCAAAGGCAGCTCCAACTCTAGCTGGAGATCCCTGTAGCAAATAAGCGATTATTAGATGATGACTTTCCAGAACCAGTGACAAAGGGCGTGTTTTGAAGTGATTTCTCATGCACGAGATGTGCACTCCATTAACACGCCGAACGGCTGGAATGGGGGCGAGATTGGGAAGGGGACCACCGATGGGGGTATGACGAGGACGTAGGATGGGGGCCGTTTGGTCCGGGTGAACAAAATTGCTATGTACGTACGTTTCCATGATGGAGCAATACCAAAACGCCCGGCATACCTGATCTCCGTGGGCTGTGCGAAGCTCGGCAGAGTTGCTGCAGCTTCCCGTTAGCTCATTAGCCCATAAGATAGCTGGTCAAATGGGGCCCGGCTGCCAGCAGGCCTTGATGTAAACTCATACCTGGCAATCAGAGCGTGGCAAGCCAAGGACGCTGATATGGTCATTCTCCAGAATTCCTACCCAACTTGGATTAGTCGATCATCCCAAAGACCCCTTTTCTCCCCATACTCACCATGTGTCGAGAACAACACTCGTAGTACAGCCTGTTACGAGAAAGATAGGGGTGGTCCAAGTCAGCGACGTATTCAATCGAACCGAGATTCTGAACCGATTCCGGTGAATCCACCATTGAGAACAACTTACCCCGCCAAAATGTATGTCTGTATATTTTCCAAACTGCACTCGCTCATGGAAAAGCCCAGGCGCCGCCTTGCTTCGTTAAAAAACTCGATGCCTGGCGGCCGATATTCGATTTCCTCTGTACCACCTGGCCCGCCATCTTGGTGGTCCTGAAAAGCAGAAAACCCTCTGCCTGCTATGTCGGCGATAGCCACTTCAGCGAGTGCCATCACCAGACATAGCAAAGCGGATGCCGCATCGTCGCCGAAATGATTGTGGAGTACCCCAGGGAACACTACTTCCATGAAATGCTGACGGTCTAGAACAGGATGAATCCGGTTGAATGTGTTGAAATATATTCTAGCGCGATCCGCAAGGACGTGTGGGCTTATACCCATCATGTGAGTTAGTCTTGGGTCGTCGGGAGCAATGCCTAACGTAATGCGATCTTGCGAGCCCATGGATTCAAGGCCCCCTCGAGAAAGACGCCGGAGGTCTCCTTGCTGCTCTGATAGCACCGATGAGAAGCTTGGTCCCTGGAAAACAGCCCGAATGCCGGGTATCTTGGGCCGGACGTTTTCAAGTGTCTGCCGGACTGCAGGCCACACCACTAAGTTGTTCGCGGCGGAAGCAGAACGGCGCTTCGGTTGGTGATGTGGCGCCAGGCTAGGCTGACTCGAGGGCTGCACGGTGGCTGTCGAAGAAGCCCTATCGCTGCTGGCGGTGCCTTCGGTAGGCAGAGGGGCCGGGGTGCTATCTCCCAAGCTTAGAAGCTGGGCGTAGATTTCTGGGATATGACTGGTGTGCTGGTTGATATTGGTTACAAGGTCGAGTAACTCAACCAATGTCTTGTCTTTCCTGCATCAAGTCAGCTAATCAACGTGATGCTAACGAAGAACCCTCAGGCTCCATCGTGCGCCACTCCGATACAGGCAGTGCGAGTTGAAAGAGAATTAACGGGCCAAATGATTCGAATATACAAGCACAGGAGCGAGCTTACTTGGTCGGCTTCGGGCTTCCATAATCGCACTCCAGCTGGGTCTTCAAGCAGTACCCACAAGTTGGCTTCTCTTCGTCGCATTTTTGCTTCCTGCGGCGGCAGACCTCGCAAGCCTATCGAGACGTCGTATCAGATTTATATTCAAGGCGAACCAGGCGCCTCTTGACAGATGGGGGAGGGGTGATCAAGGCTCTGTCGAGGAGCTAAGCCACGTGACTGAGCAGTTAACTTGTCATCGCGCTCGTCCCTTAACTTGGCTGCGGAACCAAGACTACGCTTGAAAGAAAGCAGAATTATCTGCATAGCACGAAGACGTTAGACGAAGAGCAGAAACAAAACCAGACTTACGCGTTGTGCAATATGACCGCGCTCCTTTCGATGGACCGACTTTCCTGCAGCTGAGCCCGCCCAGCTCGAAGCCACAGACGAAGGTTCGGTGTTCATGGTTCACCTAGTAGTGAAGAAATCGAAAGGGTGGTCGGGTCCGGGGGGGTTTGGATCATTCAGCAAGTCTTTGTAGTTGATGTTGAAACGAAGAGGTTGCATGCTAGGCTAGGCAGGGCTGCAAGGAGGGTGTGTGTGGTCCAGGCCGGGACAAGAGACCCAGCTCGGGGAAGCAATCTAGGTCGTCGGAACCGCATAAACCCTAGAGGCGAAGAGGGACCAGGACAGCGGCTGCGATTGATAGGTGGTACTGGACCGGGGGTTATCCGCGTGTCGCTGCGAGAAGGCAGCTCAGCGTTGTGCGTTGGAAGTCGGGGAGCGGTCGAGAAGCATGTGCACGTCCTCGGGGTGATGTGGCCCAGCTTGCGGTCTTGTTTTCTCGCAGTGACAAGATGTAGTAGACGGAGCGGCCTCCGCGCCACATGGGACTTGGAAGTGGGAGGAGATACGGAACCGGACACCGTTCTGTCGAGCAAGAGAGGAGTGGCAAGTACAGTACGCGGTGCGGGACGGGTCCTTCCTAGCCGGAGCGCATACCGTGACATGCGATATGCCGCGTTTATGTCAGAAAGTGGTCGGTCTGTTCCGTCGATGTTGTGGGCAGGCTTGGAGGACACACAGGAAAGTGTGGTCGACAGTTTTTGTTGCCTGTTTTTAGGCATCACCGGTAAACAACCGAGCGGAGTGTTTTTTTCCCCCCCGAATTGAGAAGAAACAGGAAAGGTACGTCGAGGATGTGCAAAATTGATTCATAGGAGGGGCCGGAGTAGGAGTCCGACTCCCCGGCGATGCTTATAAAAGCAGGAGACACATCCGCAGCGGGACGGAAGAAAAAGAATGAAGAACCGAACGAAATAACGACGGCAATGGTAACGGTAACCAACATGGGCAACCCGGCAACGGCAGCAAGAGCTTTAGCAATGCGAAACCAGGAGGATCCCGAGCATTCGTCCGAACCACGATAACTTGCCCAGTCAAGGCAGAGTCGGGCGGCAGGTAGGACGGGATGAAGAAAGTGGGAGCACCATCATCTACTAGGTTCAAGACTAGCAACAGTTTAACGCGTTTGTTTCGGTGAATCCTTGCTGTCGGAATGTGGTTGTAGTTACCTATACATGCGAGATGGGCAACCTGCCGAGCCCTGATGAGATCTTGCGCAGCGTAAGGTAGTCATCAAAGAGTATATCGGTGGATACCTTGATTCACGTGCCTACCTAATATGCCTTGCTTTGCTGGACTGAAGGGTGGTCAAGAGCGGAGAGCTGCCGAGACCGCCATCTCCATCGTCGCAGTGGTAGCAGCATCGGCAACCTCGTCCAGCCGTTGGTGCAGCTCGCTGGGCTGTGATGTGATGCGATGCGATGCGTCGCGTCTCGGATCCCTGAAAAGTACACACCACCTTGCCCTAGTTTAGTGTCCCATATCCCTCGCCCTTCCAATGTCCGCCCTCAGCCCTCCGCCCTCCATCTCGCCTACCTGTTGACACCAAGCCAAATACGATATGGCTCTCTAGACAAGTGTGAGCTGGCCGATAGGTCTGGCAAGGTGATGTGGTGAATGAACGAATACATTGGAACATGTTCCAGAGCTACTCCACGCCTTCGATCTAGCCGACACCCCGCTGTGTTCGCGGGCAAGCCAGTGCTCAGATGTGCGATTGTACGTATAATGTGCAAGGGGGTGGGTGTGTTGTGCGCGTGCAATATTTTTGTGTGTGGGGAGGGGGGGTGTTGCTTTGGCCGACAGCATCTTTTTGGTCTCGGGATTGGTAAGAGACGAGAAGAAGTCCATGAAAAAGCAACCCTGTCTGCGTGCCCCGCCTGACCGACGGGGGGCGTTCCGATCAGACTTCCGTGCGTCAACGTCTGGCTCTATAGGTAGTGAATGTTCTCGTCCGTCTCTTGGGTCCCAGGTTACATGTCGCGGTTGTCGTCTGTCACTATCTTGGTACTCTGTACATAACCCGCCTTTAACCTATCGTTGTTGAGCAACAGCCATTTGGTCGCGGAGCCAGTCCCGGGCCCTGCAACAGAAACGGGATGACCCCTCCACAGCAGGCGGACGCCCGACGCGTGTCGAGTCTTTTCAGCTGGCTGGTCGACCATGCGTTCATTTCGGGGGTAATGTAGAGCGAGAGACATCCGTCATCTGCAATTAAGAATGCAGCCCTAGCTAGACGGGTTTGTCTCGACGCCAAGCTGTTTTGTTCGAGCTCACTAGAGCATAATAGCGGCGGGACACATTGGGCGAAACAAATACGACCATAGTTCGCCAATGTTTTGATATGGGTGCTCCCTGTCGGGATGTATGGCAAGGTTATGCCACCTGTAGCAGAGATTTGCGTAAGTGAAATGAACTCGAAAAGACAAGGAAAAGAACACGGATCAACAATGTGAAATTGAACGAGATGGTGAGTGAGATTGGGCTGACGTCGTGGCGGTGGATGTAGGGACTAGAGGGTAAACCCCTGCTTGTGGTTTTTTTCTTCCCTTTCCCTCCATCGGGCTTCACCCTTCTCATCAGCCCCTCGCCGGGGCCCGACATACACTACCTGCCTACCTCTTTGCCAATTTCCTATTGAGGGCTGCTAATTTTGGCATAAGGTATACGAAGAGGCTCTCTTGTTGGTTATGAACGTTGTTGGCGTCGGGGGTACCTGGAACCCTACCGAAGGTGGAAACAGGACAGGGAGTGCCCGATCTGGCGAAGGAAATGAACTAGAGGCGTCTAACCATTCGAGCAGATACTGGGTGTTTTCCTCATGGACCCTAATAAACAACTGCGGCAGCGTGGGCTGCCTCAAGGGTTTTTTTGGAGGGAGACGTTGGCTTCAACGTTTTTGTCCCATACGTCACCTGTGACGTTGTGTCATCCCTAGGGGATTGGGGCGTTTTT